TTCAGTCTTTCATAAGTTAACAGCATCTCATCGTGTTCATCGGCCATTTTTGTGCAAAATAAAGAGTTGAGATTCCTTTTATTTTTATTTTTTTGATAAAATATACGTAAAAGAAACCCCTAAAATATTTAAAATACAAATAATAGAAAAACCACAATTATATTATATGAATATTGTGGTTTTTTTCAGAGCTTTTAGCTGGATCCTATGGTAAATACAATAAATGTACCAAGGAAGCATTGTGTTAAAACATTTCCTCAACAACAACAACAACAACAATAATAAAAACCTAACCTCTTTGGCGGAGGTAATATTCTTTAAAAAATACAGTAAGTAGGTCTGGAGATCAAACTTGGTCCATCAGATTTCCAAGTTTGAACACTGAAACTTTCAAATATAACGTACATTTAGCGTTTCCAGAGCTTTCAACCACATCACACAGTCTTTATCTTTGGCTATTATTGTTGTTTCCTTGTCAGAGCAGCATCTTGTGGTCTTCATGGAGTTTACGTCACTGTTACGTAAGGCTCCAGTTGGGTTTTTTTTCTTCTTCAAGCTACTCTCAGACGCAGAGCGACAGAATTAAGTTAAGAGGACTGAACCGATCCAGCAGCTGAGTTAACACTACATCTGCTAACAAACACATCCCTGCAGGTGTCAGGCTATTTCGGTGTAACCATGGTAACCACATGTTGTTGGACCCCTGCGAGGTATTTTTTTGATTTCAAGTCATGTCCGATCAGAGTTATTTGGACACTCTAATCTCGGATGAACACGGGGCTCAGAGGATTTCGCTAAGCGGGACAGGGCCGCTGGATAAGGTGCCAAATAATTCTTCACTTTGCTTGTAGGACATTAGACGTGACACGCAGAGAATAATGAGGGCGAGTAAAGGACGAGACGCCACTACGAATGTTCTCCGGACCGTGAGAAACGTGTTTTCAGGGCGACTCCGTCATCTGCAGAACATTTTCTCTGGTTCGATGTAGTGAATTGATCAAACGCATCGACGACGGGAACGACTGCAGGATGCAAGAAAAAAAACAACCTTTGTGTTTTCCCCGTCTTCACCTGCCCCTCTTTGCTCTCTTTCATTATAATCGGAGTGAATATAGCCTGTCCCTGTGGGGAAGCTGCTCTATACATAGATAGACAGATAGACAAGAAGAGATTTCCAAGACCACAGTGAGACCGCCGCCCCCCCCTTCAGCTCCCAATCGCAAAATCTCATTAAAAATCCTCCGAGCTCACACTGGCTGGCACTTACAAGCAGTCTGGCTGTTTTTATTATTCGCTGCATTCCACTGCGAGCTCTCTGGGGAGACGTGAAAGAAGAGAATGACTTTTAAAAAGGGTTCCCGTTTCGCAGGCAGACACAGTGAGTCCAGAGATGTCAGATCCGGAGATATATCCTCGGCTTATCTGCCCTACAAAGGCAGAGAAGTTTGGAGAGAAGAGGGCGAAAGTTTTCAGGCTGGATGGAAAACTACAAACTGCTTTACACAAAAATAAGCCATGCTATAGAGGTTACATGCTAACGTTAACATGCTCACAGTGCTGGCATGGTGTTCAGCAAAATGTGACGTATTGACCTTTTGGTAGCAGCTCTCATCAGCCCCTCTCAGAGTTTCTCTTTATTAATCCTAGCGTGTTAAACTGCTAACTCCTCCAAGAAAGTCACATTAATGGATAAACGCGCAAAATCTGCAGACTTCAAGTTGCACAGAGCAACTTAGGGAAGACTTTTTCCTTATTTCAACGTCTATATTTGTCTAAAAACAGCAAACAGAACAAAAATGAGTTTGCCAGAATCATAAAACAGTTAAAATCATCGAACAGTTTCACATCTATTCCAAACTGAAATGTCCATAATGATGAAACATGACTGCTAAGACGTTAGCTAAGGAGCTCAGTTTGTTGCTTCCAGCTGTTTGTAGGAGTTTGATCCTTTATAAGTTTATCAGACAGCAGCTGGATCCACACGAGTGTCTCCAAAACGAGAGAGTTTAGCGAATTTACGCACATAAAAAAAACAAATCATTCATTGGTCACAAGTATAAATCATCCCCGAAACGGAGACAGGATTGATCAGGATCTGATATCAGGACGCGCCGTGCACTTTAGTTCACCTCAGACAGGTGAGCTGTCACGTACAGTCGCATCAAGTCTCATCCTGAGTCCTGAGCTCCGTCTGTCAGAACATTTTTATTTTACTGTTGATGAAGTCGTTTTTAGATTATCATCATCACACATGGACAGTTTTTAGAAAATCATAAATAAATGAGGCAGTAAGTTATTTGTACACTTTGATGCGCTGCTTTAGTTTAATTTTAGTCTTTTTTTTTTTTATTACTACATAATTCAACATTATAAATAACTTCACATAAAGTTTGATCTTGTGTTTATGACAGATGTCGTACTGTGTCTCTCACTGTGGTTTGCATGTAAAGAACATTCATGTTAAAGTGATCAGTGTCTGAATGACAGCAT